AAGTTTCAGACGGAGAGAGGTGAGGAGGTACTGGAATTTGGAACATAGGCTTTTTTCCGCAAACACAGAGATGCAGTTAAGACTCAAAGCAGAGAAAACCAGGCTGCTTGCCCCAAACAATTATATTTATTATTGGATCCCTGCAGCTGGTGATTTTGGGTTGCCATCTATCAAAACTCCCTGGATGACATGTGAGAAAAAAGCCTCGACCCCCCACCCCCCCATCCCTACCCGTATCACCCGTGAGTGGATCAGTCCGAAGGCCATGTTGGGTGGAGACAGAGAACTGACTCTGGTGATTTGTGCCTTGGCTGACAACAACTTKTTTCGGACTCTGGAGGTCTTTGATTGGTTCCAACACGGAGKACTAACCTGGAATGTCACCGGCTGYGCCGAACCCCTCCCYATACCATGTGTTTGTCCCCCCAACCTCCTTCCCTCCTTCGCTGCCTTGCACTTGCAGAGTGGTTTTTTTAGCGCATGGTTCTGTGTTTCTGTGTACAACAGCATCAAAGCTCTTTTTTCACTCACCTTTCCTAGTGTGTGTGTATTTTAAGCTGCAAAAGGTAGCGCACCTTAGTGCCAAAGACCGTGGACATTCGTTCTCACAYGTTTATGTGTGTCTTCTCTGAACGGATGTTCTAAACYGCAAATTCCTAGTCTGTGTTTATCACTGACAGTGACAAYAAATCTCTTTCTGATTCTGATTCTGACAAACWTTGCTCYCATTGGACAGAAATGATGTGGGCRGGACAGAGCACAGACCCAAAACAAGATGTAATTTTCAAAATGCTCCRTGTTCAATGACTCACAGCGGTTCATTTTTTCTAGTGTAGTGGTAGTGTTAGCAACACTGAAGGGCTAAATGTTAAATACTGGTAAATGGTAAATATTGGTTCCATTTGAGGTCGGTCCRTAWTCATACCAGAAGTGAACCGCACCAGAGTTTAATTGGAAGCAGACYGAGATCACCTCAAAAACAGGTCTTGGTCCAGTTGTTTGATCYGAACCAGGGTTTGCAYGAGTGTATTCACACCTGCATAAATGGTCTGGACCAACAGGGGAAACGAATTCTGGTCCATTTAAAAAGAACCAAATGTGTCCGGTGTGAATACACCCTTAAAGTCAGGTGTAACTCATGTTTTCTTTTAGGTACATTGTTACAAAATTTCCCAAAACTGCAGGTGCAAAACTGAGGCATGATTAATGATTGCTGAGGGAACAACCAGAKAATTTATCTCCAATAGACTGGTCTTACTAGCTAATAAGAGTAATGTGTAGCAGCAAACTTTAGCTTAAAAATGAATAGAAACAGCTGCTTCTTTTTTCCCATTTTTTTTACTAAACACACTAGGTGTGGTTGGTGTATATATTTAGTTTAACTAAATAMTGAATTAAACTTTTTTTATTGGGTGTCATAGTAAAGCAGGATAATAGATCCTGCTTTGCCACAGTCTTCTGCTTTTTATCTTAAATTTGAAATGTTTAAGAAGAGAAATGAGCTTGCCTTTTTTCCCCGCTCACCTAGCCTCCTGACAAATTATACAGAACAAGTTTAAAGTGCTCATCTTGTTAGAAAGAGATTTCATTTGGTAACTTTCTAAGAGGGAAAGCTGATTGGTCACTGTGACATCTAATGATTATCCAGCTCAATCTGTCATTTCCCCCTCCTTTTACTTTGGTCCTTGTTATTCGTGCTTCAGGTGTCTTGGCAAAAGACAAATCAAGAAGATCAATCTCCTCTCAAGAGGTGATGACATTTTGAGAGCTACTGAACGTCTCATTCTTTAAGTATTATCATCATTAGCATGGAGTGGATCAATTTCTGGGCTGGTGACCAAAATTGGGCCAATAAATGGTCAATACAGAACATTTATTAGTAAATGTCAACTCTTTCTCTCTTTTTTTGCTTGTTTGTTTTAAAGACAAATATACTAACTTTGTTGTTTGTTTGTTTGTTTGTTTGTTTTATTTGGACCTTGGTTAAAAAAAGTTGGAACAAACAAAGGATATTGTTTAGTGTCATTCATTTTTTATATTTTCATGCCTTCTTGAAAAAATGTTTAAAAAATATTGTACGTTTGTTACTGGTTTTTAACTGCAAATATTTTATTATGAACATGCAGGCAGATTTTCAGTTCAACCAGAATTTCGAGAAATAAATTATGACACTATTTTTTTGAAGGTGGAGCCAAGTCACCAGACAGACTTTGTGTTTTTTTTTTATCAAAAATTGAAATAACACAGAGTCTAAACCAACAGATCAGAGCTTAACAAAAATCAGAAACTGAAAAAGGCTGAGAAACAGCAGTCAGTGCGTTCAGACTAATAMATTTTAAAAACTAATTTCATCTACTTCCATAACACCATTAAATCACAATTACTAATAAACGTGCAACTCTGACAAAACAAAAGCTGAACTCACTAAAATCACTACGTAATGTTTCAGCAATAAGCTACAGACTGTAAACATAAGCGTGCGTGTAATAAACACAAACTCCTGCTTCATTTTGAAGTGAAGCATGTTGGAAACATGCAGTGATTTTTAATTGAAAAGTGTTTTTCTTTAATCCCTTAGCGCTACGCAGGGGCACCTTTCATGTGGTGGTGTCATTGTGGAGAAAATAACAGTTAATCCCATGTCACAGACTGGGAATCCTAAAGCGATCTTTTCAGTGCTCCAGAACCCATCATCGCTTGACAAAAAAAAACACAGTTCCTTCTGGTGCCAAAGGCTCTCAAATATGGTCTGTGAAAGCTGGGTATAAAAATGAACACTGCTGCAGTTCTTTATCCCACCCCAGGTCAGATGGCGGGACGGCACTTTCTGCGATTTGATCCACGTCGAGCTGTAAGTAGATTAGAAAGATCTATTGATTCTCCCCCTCCTTCTGTTCGTGCATCACGCTGTCGCAATCAATTGAAATGTTCCAAAATCTTTATTATCTGCCTAAGTATGTGTGAACTTTAGTTTCCTTTTAGTCGGTTCTTTAAATAACTCGTGTTTACTAGTGATGTGAACAAACGGCATTGCCACAAAACCCTCATACTGGAAAAATAAAATAAAACTGCACACCAGCCATAAACGGCTCTAAAATTATATCGTCATACAGGATTTGGCGAGCAGCTCGGGGGGGGAAACTGAATCTCGTTTTGACTGATGATAGCTTGTCGAAGCATTATATAACGTCGGCCTTTACTCACCTCGTTTTAAACAAGGCATTTTCTCCCATACGATCCTGTGGTATTTTTTTCCCCCTCCTGCTCTCTTCTAATCGCCACCAGCTATGATTTATTATTTTAAGTTAGCGACTCACAGCGGAGTTCTGAAATGTGTAATGGTGTGAGGAGCTGAAAAGATGAAAAAGCCTGTAAGTGGCGAAAGCATTCATCTGTCACACCCAAATAAAATCAAAAGATTAATAAGAAGTAACAGATCTCGCCGATGCTTTTCATTTATCAAAAGCAAACTTCTTACACAGACGACAAACACTAATTATCAGGGAAGGCCTTGGCTTCGCAAAATGTCAAGCTGCAACCGGAAGCAGCTGAACTGGTGTGTGATCGTTGAGCTGAAATATGTTACACAGAGTGCATGCACAGGTAACGGTATCTGCTTAATGCAGCAGCTGCTCCTACATTTCAGTTCTGTTTTTACTTACCCGTTTTTTGAATCGACTTGACATCACTCCCAGCAAGACAAAAATCAGGAAATGCTTATTAATTCTAATTTAATTGTCGTAGTTGTAAACTATAAAAGTAACATTCTGCACCCCCTGCCCTCAGTGTTGACATGCATGTGGCCAATTTCAGTACACCGGCAGTTGCTAGCTCAGTAGCAGTGTTGCTAACTTGGCAGGTTTGCACAATGGGCTAACCTTTTTTTTTCCCAAAAAAAGCAACTAGCAACAAATCCCGTGATTTTTATTTTTTTACGATGTTACTGGTGACTTCTGGAGACTTTTGTGACTATTTTCCTCAGCAAGCAGCAAGTGGTGCAGTAAGCCCCTCCCCCTTTCCAAAGCACTGACAAGCAGTCTACTGGAATTCACTGAATCTCTCTACCTGAATGCATTTAACTCAGCCTCAGTCACTGCTTCACTTGATCTTTTGCCTGTAATTGCATGCAACTATGGTACACTGTATTTGACATTTTTAAAACACCTTAAAAAATATTCTTTCCTTAAAAAATCTTTTTGTTAAAGCCGCTAACAGAGGGTTTATTTGAAGAAAAATACAATCATGTCAAACAACTTGCTTACTGAGCTCCTGTAGCTGTTTGAGCTGAAGAACCTCCTCTTCTTCGTCATCCCCAGAGGTAAAACGCAGAGCCGAACCTTCCAGGGTGAACCAGCCCGTCCTCCAGTAATACAGATCATGACCTTCTTTGTACTTGAGTCTGCCAATCAGGTCGCTGTCTTTCTGCAACAGTGCTTCCACTTTAGGTGGGATGAAGCACTGCAGAAACAAAGAATGAAAACAAAGACTTCTGCAATTAATACAATACAAATTACTYCTTTGCCCATTTTTACTTTTTACAGATTGACTTTTACACAATGGTCTTTTGCAGATCTGTTGCCAATCAATTAGTTGCAAAATACTCCTCCAGCTGTTTTTATATCTATACCACCTAATTTCAGTCTTCTGTTGCCCCTGTCTCATCTTCTTTGAACCCCCACAAATAAGGTCCAACTTCTTATCTTAAACATTTGATACGTTTCGAAGAACAGAAAACTTTGTCATTGTAGTATACCAATGTTCAGTAGAACTGGGCAATGTGTCTGAAAAACATATTATAATAAGCGTTTCCTATCAGTAGATATTGATAAGTATTGGTTTGTTATTTGTTTTACCRCTTTAAAATATAGAGCATAAAAGCAAATGATGAATTTAAATACTTTTATTTTAACCGTAACTTTTAACCTTTAAAAGGAGGTCAACACTGGCGTATCCTTCGCTAAATGATAAGCTACTGCATCCGGTATTTCTTTATGAAGTTTCAGTGTCTCGTTGTGCAGCACTGCTGCCGAGTACCTCTCAATGGTTGTCTGTTCCCGCTTGTTGTGTATTGTTCCACTGCTGTACTCCAACGAAGGAGAGCGGCTGAGGTGATAAAATAAATGTGCCGTATTGCCAGACTTTGTAAAGACAAGGACCTTGCATAGATTGCAGACAACGGTTTGACTCTTGTCAGACTTTAAATATTTGACAAACTTTCCAAACTGGTGAWGTGACCCTAACTCTTTCATCCTCTTTTAGCCTGTCCTCTGCCTACATCCCCCAGAATGCCATGCAGTTTGAGTTCAATGAAACTTAACATTCTATTAAACATATTTTATATTTATATTGATCACGCGCTAGATATAGTTAATGCTTTATGGCCCAGCCCTAATGTACAGTGCAATGAAACAAGGTTAGCAGATCTGGTAAGGTGCTTCTTAGGTACAGAAACAACAGATGCATAAACAAAAGTTATAATAAAATAATAAAAAARTCAAGTAAAATCTGGAATGTACACAAGTGGTTCAAAAGAGCGTAATATGTTCCCCTATGGATTAAATAAATGTATTTATGAGATTTGCAAGTCATTGCAATATGTTTTTGTTTACATTTTGCACAACGTCCCAACTTTTTCTGAATCGGGGTTGAACAATGCAAACACAAAACAGGTGCGTCYGTCGCCAATCAGAAGTTTTTGCTAAGTTTTAAAAGTATTTCCTTTTGTGTGACCATTGTTCTGCGGTTTGAAGTGAATAAGAGGTCTCTGTGGCTTACGCTACAGATGGAGAGACATATGTACTAATGCTGCGATCCCGCTCGCTACCACTGCCTGGGTTGTCTAGGACTGAAAAGATAAAAGTAAAAAAAAAAGAAGGCAACAGGGGGCATATTTATATTGCGAATTATTACAAGATCCGTTCGGCATGCGGGGGAAGACTGCAAAGCCACTTGTCTTAAGTAGAGACAGCATGAGGCTCACTGAGTACACTCTGTGTTTCAAAGTAGCAGCGTAAATGGAAAAGTGCAGCACAGCCTCACAGGCTCTTTGTTTTTACTTGAAGCGGAAAACCAAAGTTGTAAGAGAAGCAGAGGAATGTGTGCCTTATGTGTGGGTGCGCTCCGTGCAAACTGTGTCACCTTTGTTAGCGCCTGGATCCAGTCGTGCTGAGTAGCCTGCGTTTCAGCTCCGACAATGAGCACTCGCTCCGTCTGTAGATACAGCTCGACAGTAAACACAGCCCTGCCAAAGACACGGGGGTCACTTTCAGATATCTGCAATTTTAAACAAAGTCTCCTCCCAAAGCATGCGCTTTAGAGTTGAAATAAACATGAACATCACAAACGACTCATATTCCCACACGCTTTAAAAAAAAACATTCAAAAAGGGGATGCTTTATACTTTTTATTAGGACCAGTAGTCTTTGTATACATTCACACCTGGATTGCTCATTACATTAGCAGTTACATTTATTGTTACTGAGCAGTTTCACTGCAGGCGGTCAGAGGAAACTTGCTTCTGATCTCTTCAGTGAGAGCAAAGATTTGATGTGAAGAGCTGCTGTTCACAATAAAACACTTTGTTTTCCAGGCATGTCCAACTCCGGTCCTCAAGGGYCGGCCTCCTGCAAGTTTTAGATTTGTCCCTGCTTCAACACAGCTGATTCAAATAGATGATTTAGCTTCTCAGTTTGCCRCCAAGGCCTACTAATTAAGCATTCCTCAAGTTCAKCTGTGTTGAACCAGGGCAGCACCTAAAGCATGCAGAACACCGGCCCTTGAGACTGACTTTGGACACCACTTATACTGTTTTTGACTTGTATTTTTTTCTGCACAGGTTCTAAAGTGAGCTGGAAAAGGGTAGGGTGACTTCTCYGGGTCGGRGARGAGGTCCTGCCCMAAGTRGAGGAGTTTAAGTATCTCGGGGWCTTGTTTAAGAATGAGGGAAGAATGGAGCGGGAGATCRACAGCTGGATTGGTGCTGCGTCTGCAGTGATGTGGGCGCTGTACCGGTCTGTGGTGGTGAAGAGAGAGCTGAGCCAGAAGGYGAAGCTCTCKRTTTACCAGTYGGTCTACGTTCCTACCCTCATCTATGGTCACRAGCTTTGGGTAGTGACCGAAAGAACRAGATCAYGGACACGAACGGCCRAAATTAGTTTCYTTTGAAGGGYGTCTGGGCTCTCCCTTAGAGATAGRGTGAGAAGCTCTATCATCCGAGAGGGACTCAGAGTAGAGCMGCTGCTCCTCCACGTCGAGAGGAGYCAGSTGAGGTGGTTCAGGCATCTGGTTAGGATGMCTCCTGGAYRCCTCCCTGGTGAGGTGTTCCAGGCACGTCCTACTGGGAGGAGGCCCAGAGGAAGACCCAGGACACGCTGGAGGGWCTATGTTTYTCAGCTGGCCTGGGAACACCTTGGGATTCCCCTGGATGAGCTGGCCCAAGTGGCTGGGGAGAGGGAAGTCTGGGTCTCTACWTAGGCTGCTGCCCCCGCGACCCGACCCCGGATAAGCAAAAGAAAACAGATGGACGGACACGTTCAAAAGTTAAAAGGATCTTGAAATGCTGCTCTTGCATTTTTTGTGTGAATGCTTCGAATCTAATTTACAAYCTGATGTTTTTAATGTTTATGCACCCAGTGTGAAAGTTTTATGCTCATTGTGTTTCCAGTTTTTTATAGTTTTTTTGTAGCAGTTTTACAGCACCCCTTACAGGCCTGCCATAGTTACTACACTATGTTGGATCATTTCTGGTGTTTTAGTTTTTAGTTTGTTTTTATAGTAAAGATCTAAGAACTTATTTCATAAAGACAAGCACATGGAGAAACCCCAGGCTATGCAGATAAGTGTGTGCAGCTGCTAAGCTGTGATTCATGGAAGAAAGTTCTGCTGGTTTATCTGGAGGCCCGCTGCTGCTCGGCCCCTCGGTGGGGTGTGCGGCTGGCCGCCGGCGTGCTGGGGGTTCCCGGGGTCTGGGGCTGAGCGCTGGGGTGTGTGCCGGCCTGGCCTGGTGACTGCCTGTTGGGGCTCGGGGCCTCTGGCTCTGTCAGGCTTTGGCCTGGAGGGGGTGCGCCCTGGGGGCCCGGACCTCTGTGCCCTTTCCTGGATCTGCTCTGGTATGGCGGGTGCCGGTGGGGCCCATGAGTTTGTCGCTGCTGGCCCCGGAGGCTGTGCATGTGGTCACTGGGGTGACTCTCCCAGTTCTCCCCTATGGTCTGATCAGGGGGGTGGGTGGGCGGATCTTCTCGTGCGGGTGCCCCTTGGGGCTCTGCGCTCGGGAT